GTGGAATGAATTATTTTAATACTCGTTCATGTTTATTGAAATGGAATGAGTAAAAGGAGAATTAAAGTCTTATAAGACGAGGTCAAGATTTGAGGTGCCTTATGCAGTTAAGGTGTTTATACACCGAGGTAGTTAAAGGATTCAATACTAAATATTGTTTGTCACTAATAAATCAAGAATTGAATTGGAATTTTGAATTGTTGGAATGATGGAGGTATGATTGGTTGTATTGTTTTGCATTTGAGTCATCACCAAGTTTAAACTGGTAAATTATATAAAGTGCAAGATGGATGAGCAATAAAACTCTGGATTTGTGCACATCTAGAGTATTGACAAACAAGGGTTAGGGTACACGGGGTATTAGCCGTGTACTTTTCAGAGGTCGTCTGATCTACGAGTCTCTTGTTTTAAATTCTTTTAAAATTATAATGAGTTAGATGAGATCTCATACTAGCTATGGCCACGGAGTCGCGCCCGTCTACCATTGGATGTTTATTAATGTCTTCCAAAAGGAGGCATAGGGTTTTCTTATTTAATGTTCCGGAATGGAGCACAGGGGAACAACTTGGTCTATTGCTTAATCCAATAAAATTAATGAAGTGATCAATTCTATCTAGAGAAAACTTAGTAATAAGTAACATTTGAGTCATGTGTTCGAGTCAATGATTATATTGTGAGTGTATGGAATGCTTGATAGTATCATGCTAAGACTCTTTACTATATTTCGTAGCTTGTATGTACTCAGCATTGCTGATTGTGTGCTTTTGTGTGTTTCTCTTGGTCATGGCCTCGCCTTCAATGACCCTGTAATGATCCAATTCTTACACTTGTAAAATTAGGGAGCAGATTAATCACAGGTTATTGCATAAACTGACTTGCATCAGGGTGATGATTTGAGTGGAGCGTTGGTTGATCACTTAGCTTATTTTATGTCATAGATTGAATTTTATTTTGGTTCTAATTCCATTTACTTCCTATTTTACTGGATTTTGAATAAGGGACGTTATGGTTCCAACTTGTAAGACTAAATTGAGTTTTGACTTTTAGTTTTGAAACTTATATTCATTTTAAAACTAAGTTAGTTTTCCGCTGCTGATTTCTAAAACTAGCCTTAACGTTTAAACACGTGGCGGTAGCACGCCAGTAATTCTCTCACAGGTTATTAAAAGTATTTACAGGTGATTACAGGTTACTACAGGTTATTACAGGTTAATACAGGTTTTAAAGAGAGAATTATTGGGGTGTTACATGTTCTGATCCTGAAGTGGAAGATGGGACCGTGGAGCTTGGACTTGAGATAGTTGTGGGCTTGCTTGGGACGAGGGGAACAACTGTCTTGGTTGATCCTCAGTGCAGTTTGGAAAAGTCATCTTCATCTGATGAGGAAGATAAGTCTGCTGAGAAGAGGGTGGTGAAACCTACCGAGGCAGCCTTGTCAGCCATGTTCACCAATGTGTCAAACACCCGTCGCCATACAGCGGTGGAGACACGTCTGCTGCAGTTTGTAAAGCGGTGGAAGGAACTGAAGGATCCACTTAGGCAATTCAGAAAAGTGTAATTGAGTGTGAAAAGTCTTTTTATTGTGCATGCCTTTTGCAAAGTTTTTGTTTTAATTGTAAATTCTAATATGTTTATGTGTATACTTGGTGTTATGATGATGGTTCATCGCATAGCCCTGGTATGGTGATGATAAAGTGTGATAACATGGAAGCCAACCAGAGGGATTGCTATGAAGTGGTGCACAATAAATCACGGGTTTCCACTAATTACGTTAGAATGTCCAGTGTGCTATACACCAAGAAATGGGCCACCAAAGACTTCTGGAACAGGAGCAAGCGTATTTTGCTTGACCCAAGCTTTTTGGTAAGTGGTTCGGGGTTCATTTCACCTTCCGGGTGTCATTTTACGTGCACATTTGATGATGGTCATGCTTGTTGTTTTTATTGTCTGGATCGTAGAATCGACTGTTGTTGAATGAAGGAAATGAAGAACATATTTGTAACAAGTATGCCAAATTTCTCCTGAGCTTTAACCCGTCGGATATTCGAGCGGTCAGCAACTTACTCACATAGTTCAATACATAGGTTTACATGTGTTTTTCATGCATATGCGCTAAATTGTGCTTACGGCATTGACATTGTCAATTAACCAGGTGTTTGTCCCAGTCCTCGAAGTTCCTCAGGATTCCCCTGACGAGTCGCACTGGTGGTGCTTAGCATCATTACACATGAAGGCTCAACAGTTGTGGATGATAGATTTCATGTACTCTCACCCGTTCGCCACACATGCCAAAGAGATCGATCTTCTGGTACTACAACTACTGACTTTCATTCTAAACAACCATGGTATTTATTGGGACCATTTGGTAATGTGTAATGTGTTTGTCAAACTACAGCTTAGTGGCATCGACGTCCTTTTCCGACTTTGTGACCCAGCATGGAAGGTTGGTCAACTACATTCTTGGAGCAGATGCACTGTTGACATCTTAGAGCCAAAGGATAAGTAAGAACCTATGTTTCCTTGTTTGCTTACTGTGTCAATAACTATCAGCCTACCTTTAAGGTCAGGAGAACGTATCTTCAGCTTTCGTATTGATTGTTGTCCTCCAATATGCAGCTCATACTACGGTGTTCTTATGCTGGCGTGTATTAAGTTCTTTGCAAGAAGATTCACCACGAGGTTCAGTGTGGTGAGTGGTTTTTATATCTGTTTTTTGTGTGAAGATCTCTGGAATGGTTGGCTAAAGTGTTTGTTCTATTCTTACATTTACAGGGGAAGATTCCTATTGCTCGGGCAAATATGTTCTTAGACGACATGCAGTGTGAAGTGAACGAAATGAAAGACTTTCTGGGAGATACGATTCCAGGCCCTAGGAAAACATCGCTAAAACTGTGATGTGTTGGTGTTTGTTGACTAACAAACAATTGTAATATTGTCATTTACATTCCATTCCTCCAATGATGATCGTATTATGTACATTAACGTGTATTAACAGACTCGGTGTATGTGTCTTTGTAGGACTACAGTTTGTGCTGTTTGAACTTGATCAGTTTGTGTTGTCTACACTCGATATCCTGAATTTTGAGGTGTACTATGTTATGCTTATTTTGCTTTTGTTTTTAAAAACATGAAAATGAGAGATACTCAAAGCATTTAAAGTCTCGTGTTTTAAAAAGTGAATCAATTTACTCCCATCTTGATAACGAGCTCAATCCCTTGAACCTTTGTCTGTATATATATTTGTCGCCTTATATATGATCTGAAAGACACATGTGATGATTTTTATTACATGTTTCAAATGCTTAACAGTGTTACAAACTGTTGAAAGGAATATTTTCCCGTAATCTGCTTCTTCATATGCTCAAACAAACAATATATCCCGTAATCTGTTTCTTCATATGCTCAAGCAATAAACGGTTCTTCATATGCTCCCGTAACATAACAACAAACTGTTGGAAAAAATATGCTCCCGTAATCTGTTCCTTCATAACTCAAATGGTCACGAAATGGCCATTAGTTCATCAAGACGTTTCTGCTTCACCTGTGACAGGTGCGATGTGTTTAATGTCATATAAATAATCACTGAGGTAGAATGACATAAATTTAGTATTGAAACTTACAAGTAGCTTTCGAGAAGACGTATTTGCCTTCCCCTTCCCCTTTGTTGTCTTCCCCTTTGACATATCGGGTTCTGCCATTACAGCCTTTTCCTGCATCTTCCTCCTAAACACCAGATCCTGCAACACCATTTCCTCCTCCTCAACACCTGCATCCAGCCCAACACCATTTGCTGCTGCATCCTCCTCGACACCATTTGCTGCTGCATCCTCCTCACCACGATCACCATTTCCTGTATTTGTTGTCTTCCCCTTTGTCTTACCGGGTTCTGCCATTCCTGCCTTTTCCTGCATCCTCCTCCTAAACACCAGATCCTGCAACACCATTTCCTCCTCCTCAACACCTGCATCCTCCTCAACACCATTTGTTGCTGCTTCCTCCTCCTCACCACCATTTCCAACATCTTCCTCAACACCACTTCCTGCATGCTCCTGTATGTATGATATAACAGCATTCAGAAAATAATAACAGGATAAACAGTCAGACCCTTTAAATATTGAAGATAGCATAAATCTTACCGAGCTAGGCTTCTTATTCTTGTTGGTTTTCTTATAGCCAGTTTCAGCTAACGTTTTGTGCCTTGAACCCTTAGGCCTGCCCATTTTCCTTTTCTTAATTATAAGGTCTTTGATAACAAGGTCCATAGCAGCTGGACAGGAGTCTACGGCAGTAGCATCGGCAGCAGGATTCCTAACTGAGGAAAACGTTCTGCCTTCAGGGGTTGATGTCAATGTACTAACTATAGGAACATTTTCCTTACTCTTCTTGTCCCTACGCTCATTAACAGCTAATTGAAGCTTCGATAGTGTTTCAATTACCATATGGACCGTTTGATCGTCCACCATGGCAGCGGTTTCACATAAAGGCTCGAGTTTTTGCATCATTTTGTTGAATCTCTTCACATTGACCGTGTCCCCCGGATCATGGTAGGCCACCTTCACCCTAGTGTGCTTCCGGGGTATGTCCTTCCTCCAACAGTCTACAGCGTACTTCTCTGGTAGATCTTCAACCAAGTTTTCATCCAAAATCCTAATACAGTGTTTGCCAAGTATGCCACTTGTCTCAAACTTCCTACAGTCACACTGCACCTCCTTTGTCATTGGACAGAAAGTAACATTGTAGGATCTTCGCCTGTTTGTAATGACATCCTCACTCGCACCGGGAGGTACTATCCATACACGATCGACCACCGAATACTGAATAAGCTTTTCAGACAAAACCTTCTCTCCTCGGACATTGCAATACATCATTCTCGTACACTCCTTTTGAACTTCTTGAAACTTGTTGTCCGTGTATAACTTTTGGAATATTTTTTCGACTTTGAATCCACTAACCAACCTCCTAAGGTACTTCGAGCAACGCGCATCTGCACTCAGTTCATCTCAAACGCGTTGATCCAAGGCCATGCAATACTTTTGAGGAAACTCATGGAGTTTTGTTTTGCGGTTCACATAGCCGTCAAAAAATCGATTGATGCTCTCCACCCTTTGTGTGGTCTTCATAACGGCCCAAAAAAACTCCTTCACGTACGCAGGCACCCACATATGACTCTCTTTGTGTAGGCTCTGTAGCCCTTCATTGTCCTCCAACTTATACTCAGCAATAAACTCTACCCATCGGGTTTGGAACTCCCCGGGGTCAAAGCTCTCATATACCAGCTCTTTGAGGGGGTTGACGAACTCTTGGTAACTAGACAGAAATGATAACAGCAGAACAACAACAACAAGTTAGCTTGTCTTTAATATGGGAATCAGATTATTACGCCTTTAAAACTAATATCAAGACCTTGAACATAGTAAAGCCAGGAGGAGGAATTTCACAACATACCCTGCACACTTGCCAAGTTTCTCAGGGATCTTGCTCATGATATGCCATATGCACCAACGATGCACCGTGTTTGGCATGACTTCAACAAGGGGCCTCCGCATACCTGCCGTTTGGTCGGTCAATATGGCTTTAGGAGCTCGGTTGTTCATGCAAGCTAACCACTGTCGAAATATCCACGCAAATGTATCGCAGTCTTCATGTGAAACAAGAGCACATCCCAACAACAACGATTGCCCATGGTGGTTCACACCAACAAAGTTCGCAAACAGGAGCTCATACTCATTCGTTAGGTATGTTGCATCGAAGAAAACCGCATCACCAAAGTCCTCATAAGCTACCCTACTTCTTGCATCCACCCACAACACATCCTTAAGCCTCCCTTCTTCATCCAAACGTTGAGCATGGAAAAAATTTTGGTTCCCGGTTTGCATTTTGTCAAAGTACTCCATCATTGCCACCGAGTCCCCTCCAACCATCTTCAACCGCCTAGCCTTGTACACCTCATGTTGTAAATCTTTTACTGTTAGAGCCATGTTACCCTTTCGTTCGGTCGCCATGAAACCGTGTATTTGAGAAATTGGTACACCTTGCTCGTACAAATTCGTCAACGTCTTCTTCACTTTGGAGGTCATTTGCCTCATGCGGTACTCCTTAACAAGCTCAGAATTTGTCGGATCAATCTCGTGATTATGCTTTACTTCCACGCTCTTCAACTCCCACAAGCCATTTTCGACCCTAAGCACTCTCAAACCGTGTAAACCCTCATCAACTAGGAAGGTAAGCATTCGAAGACATGTCATAAAAAAGGCACACAAATCCTCAAATCCAAATGAATGAGAAAATCCACATCAAAAATATTTCAACTTGTCATAGTCATGTTTGTTACACAAAAGGGAACAAGAAAAACACACAAGAAAGAGGAAGAAATTGAAAAGGTTCATAATCGAGGCATGTAAATCAAATAAGTCCCAATCGTCACACAAGTGATCGTTGATAACAACATCAACGATCCCAGGTTCCTTAGAACCAAAATCAATCAATCTCGAACCATTCGACTCTTTCTAAGCTAAACCTAAACTAAGCACTCAAAGAAAAAGGAAAGAGGGGAAAGGAAAGATCTCACTCAAATGTCTCTTAAAGAAAGATAAAGCAACCAAACCATTTACCAAGGCTCCAAAGCTTCAAAAGTTGCTTCCATCGGTCTTCAAAGCTACAAAAGAGAGAAAAAAGAAAACAAAAGAAAGCACTAGACAAAGAAAAAGAGTTAGTAGAACGGGGAAGAAGGAAAAACAAAAAGCTACAAACTTGGCCCATGGACAAAACTAACTACCAAAACCATCATTAAGAACATCATCATCTCATCATCATGATCATCATCAAAAGCAATACCACATAACAAAAAGCTAGACCCATAAAGAAGCTAGACAACCCGATGCTTAACAACAAAATTACCCAACAAAAGCTTTTCAAACCTTCCCACGAGTCCTTGATTCCTTCGCCCACACTGACTTAAAACTACTCCCTTTTGATTCAAACACCCCCCCCATACTAAATAAGAGCATCGTCCTCGATGCTTCACATGCGATTGAAAAGACAAGGGAGGGACCAAAAAGGGGGGGACATGCATACCAAGGGGGAACTAGTTGCCACTAGGGCCGGCACCATCATCCCTAGGGGGGGTGGGTGGTGGCTTATAGGGTAAATTCGTATCCCCTAATCAAAAGTAAATACCTAAGTCCTCTAACTAAAGTAGGTAGGGAAGTAGGGTCGAACTCCACAGGGAAACAAGTCTTTCTACTCCTAATTAATTATTATAATCTAAATTATCTAAATAACCAATATTTTTGGGAATAAATTCTATACTACGAAGAATAAGGTCGGAAGAAATAAAATAGGGAGAAATTAATTATTAAAAGACCTAGGGCATAGGTTCACTGATAAACAATATTCCAGGGCAAATAATAATAAGTAATCATCAAGCATTAATTAATTAGATTATAAAGGGCTTTCGCAACGTATTATAATCACAGAGTTAAACTACCGGTATTAAATCTCATCTGTCGAATCTCGACTTAACCATTTATAAATTAGTCCCCCTATTGAAACTAAGTCTAAACATTAATTCTCATCTGTCGAATCTCGAATTAATATTGCTAAACTCATACATTTAAACCTGGCCAAACCTAATTGCATAGCATAAAAACAATCAATAGGAAATTAACCAAGCATTGATAATCAACAATCACAAAATTACCCCTTCATATTATTTATTAGATCCCCATAAACCCTAGAAATAAAACTACTCAAGCATCGTAATAACTAAACTAATCAAATGAACAAAGAAAAACGTAACCGAAGAAGTAAATAAAATAACTGAAATTAAAAGAGAAGAAATTGTTACCAAAAGAAATCTAGATTAATGAAAGTAATTAAGAACAAAAGTTGAGAGAGAATTTAAGAGAGAGAAAAATCCTAAGTAGAGAGAGAAAGTCTAAAGAAGAAGGTAATTAGAATTTACGTACATAATTCGTACTTCAACATTCCTCAAAACAAAAATTAAAACTAATCTAATCAGCTCTAAGAAAAACACGCGCCCGATCGGGCGAAGGGCCGCCCGATCGGGCCCGCCTTTTTTACAACGCCCTTTTGGTATGCCGCGCCCGATCGAGCTTACGCTCACCCGATTGGGCACGCTTCTTCCTTGAAGGTGCCTATACGCGCAACCGCCCGATCGGGTGTATGCTTGCCTGATCGGGCCCGGTCTTCTTCTTCGAGGCTTGGATTTCGATTGGGCACAATTTCTCGTCCCAATCTGGATTTCCTCATCGGATCTTGATTAATCGATCCAATAGCCCCGGTATCTCATACCGAGCCCTTAATCATCGGCTCTCACCGATCTTGGGCTTCAAGAGTGGTCGTGTCTTTCTAGCTTCCGTAGTTGATCCATAAAAACCCGGGAAAATGCTCCAAAAGTGCAATTTCCTGTAAAACTCAACTTAAACTACGAAAACACTAGAAAACACAAATTAGTAATAAAAGTGGCCCTAAAGAGCCAAAAACACTACTATTAATGACCACGGGACGGGGGTAAAACACTATATAAATTGGACATATCAAACACCCCCAAGCCAAACCTTTGCTTGTCCCTAAGCAAAGAGCTCATTAATGAACATATAAAACATGCCTCATCCCAATAAACAAAATAAAGCACAAACGATTCAAGATAAGTCTAATGAACATTATTCAATGTCAATCAATCTCGTACATCTAATTATCATTCATCCCCAACAATTGTCAAGTAAAGCAAACCACGTAAGCATATAGAATTCAAGACTAGTGCTCACACACTCAACTCTCATTTATGTGGCGAGTAAAAGATGTACTCGATCGCTCTCGAACCAACCCCTTTATTTGTGAACAATGCCCTCCCATCTCACACTCTCGTGTGTTTAAAACAATGAAAGCTCAACCTACTAGTCGACTCGAAATATGTCAAGTCATAACTTGCATTGATAAACAACACGTTCACATTCATACAACTCTATGCACAAAGGTCGGAAGGTCTTTAAAGCTTGTAATGTAAGGTTAGGGGAAAGGGTAGGATAAATTTGGGAAAATGTGAGAGTAAAGCCATGCTTAAGGGAGTCATATCCTAATAAAACCCAAGGTCACAACAAGTGATGAACAAAACATCTCCAATCACAACTCAACTCCACAAAAGTTCACCAAACAATCATATATACAACACAATCCCAACACTTACACATTCACTCACAAAATATGATAATATGGAATATAGTGAATTAAAAAAAACTTTGAACCATTTATTCTTTTTCTTTTTTTTTTCAAACTTGAACTCTTTTTTTTTTCTTTTGAATTTTTTTTCTTGAACAACCTTCAAATAGAACATTTAAACATTAAACAGTTTTTTTCTTTTGCTCTTTTTTTCCTTTTTACCTCATATTGGAAATTTCAACTTTGTAACACAACATATCAATATTTTCCAATCATAAAATCAAAGAACAATCACTCTTCTTTTATTCCCACATCGTGCAAATAATGTGCACACCACAACTCCCTCACCTCACCAACTAATAGCTCCCCCAAGCCAAGCTTGGGACTAGTAACCAATGTGGCTCATATAGGCTCGTAATGTGGATAAATAAACAATAAAAGGGCAAAAGCAACAACATGGTAACAAGAAGGGAACAAATGTATCTAATATCGTCTGAATGCTTCCTAAGAGAACAAATACCTTCGTCCTCCTCAATGTGCATAATGATGAGTCATACAAACATTACTAATAGTTGCAAACCAATACTCAAATTCATTGACATACCAGGAACTAACACACATTCCTAACCAAATCAACTAGTCAAGCACTATATTCACAAATAGTTGGCAAAATTGACGCATGTTTAGGAATTCAAACAATTAAACATCAAATCATGATCAACAAATTCACAAAGCTCATTATAATATACCAAGAATCAAAACAATATTTTCTAAGTATGGGACACAGGGAAGCATGATTTACAATTCATTGGAAGGTATTTTTGAATTTTTTTGTTTTTCTAATTTTTTTGTATTTTTTTCATAAAGGAAAGCAATAAAAACTACACTAGGATAGCAATAAATAGAGAAGAGAGAAAGGGAGTTACCATATATACAAGAAATCTCCCCCCAAGCCAAATCAAGAAATTCCCTCATTGACTTGGGAAGGTAGCTAGGAGAAGCTACTCCTCATCGTCATTCATCCTCTCATATCCTCCTCCATAGCTCGAGCCGGCACCACCCTAGCTCGGTCCAGCACCACCATAACCCGAACCACCTGCATAGTAGTTAGGGTTCACATTCCCCCCCATACCCCCAAAAGGAGCGTCACCCCCATATCCATGGACTGAGGAGTAGTCCACATAAGTACCAAATGCTCCGGGGTGAGAATACCCTCCTTGGGGTATTGGAACCACTCGGGAACTAATGCCTGGGGGGGATAGCCCCTCGGCGTGCATAGTCATCGTACATGGGGTATAGACCCCTTCCAAGGTTCCTCTCTATGTGTCCTACCCGACCATCCAAGGCGCTTAACCTAGAATCTAGGTTTTGCATCATGGCCTCTACTCTCCCTTGACCCATCTCTATACGGTCCAATTGGCTCCTAAAAGCCAAAAAGTCATAAGGGGCATTAGGGTTGAAGTTATAGTCGACCGAGGAAGTGGGTACGCCATAGGTGAAGGGTGGAGGTGGTGGGTAGTGTGGTGAATGGTGTTGGGGAGATTGGTCTTGGGGAGATTTGTGGGGTTGTGGTGAAGGGTGAGGTGGTTGAACCTCACCTTGACCGTTAATCTCAGATGTATAAGAAGGCTTCCCCTTCTCAAATTTGGTTAAGGCGGGGTTGGGTAAGGTGAAGGCTTGGTCCCTCCTACCCGATTGTCGGTGGACTATCCACCAAGTGTCACCCCCCATGGGTTGCACCCAGTTTAGGCTCCCTAAATAGGATAGGTGCATGAGGTTTGAGCCTACAACTTTCCTATGACCATCCGGGTTCCAACCTAGGTGTTTTATGGCGATATGGGTCACTAACCCCCCAAAATAAATAGGTGCCCTAGACCTACCCATTTCGGCCGCGTTGGCCGCCCTTTAGAAGTGATTGGCTATCCTATGGGTTATGTTCAATTTTTCAGCGTTAGGAATTACATAGGATGCCAATAATTCCAATTCATCCCTCCTCACATTTGTCGGTTCATGCCTCCAAAAAATAGTGAGGCCGGCAAATCTTTGCCAAAACTTTGGGACGGGATGTTGAATCCATGACCCTTTGGCTTGTTGGAGGTTAGCCAAACCCTCCCCAGTTAGTCTCTTGTAGACCATGGCAGTGTGGTCTTGGGAGGGTTCGATTGGTTTATCCGATTTCATACCAAACAACTTTCCAAATTCTTTAAGAGTTAATCTCACATCGTTGTTCAATAATCGGAATTGCACATGAGTGATTAATGCATTCATTTTAATAACATTAAAACTTGAGATAAATTCTAATGTTAAATAGTCATATGTATCATGGCACATTTGAAAGAAACCACTCATGCCTATACCTTTAAACAATTTTCCCACATATTTATCTAGACCTAATCTAGCTACTGTGGGATGATGAACAAAGCGGGTTGAGATTACCTGTCGATCAATGAGGTTTAGCATCCTAGCCCGTTGCTCCTCCGAGGTGATAACAACCTCCTCCCATCCCGGTACTTGAAGCTCCGGGTTGACCGTGGGTTGTTGTGCCCTTGAACTTTCACCCCTTTGTGTCCTAGAACGCTTTGAAGCCATTGTATGTGGAAAATTGGGTATCTGGAGCTTTCTCTCTCTAAGGGTTTAAAGGAAGTATGAGAGAAAGTGGGAGAAAATGGGTGGAAAATGTAGAGGAAGTGGTGAGGATTAAGAATATGTAAGAAATTTGAGTTTTTGATGGGTGAATTTGAGGAGATCTTGGATTGAAGATGGAATTGAAGGTTTGAAAATGGACGTTTTAGAGAGAGAAAGTGTGAAGGAGAAAGAAGAACTAAGGAAGAAAAAGAAAACAAAAAGGGAGAAGGGGGGTTAAAACCCCGGATACAAATAGGCGCGTCCGATCGGGCGAAGGTAGTTCAGGGAGATTGTAAAGTGCACGCCTGATCGGGCGACCTCCGCCCGATCGGGCGCGAACTCGAACTTGGGAATCGCCCTTTGCTCGCCCGATATTTATTTTTGTGGCACTCGATTTCTCCGAAATTCCGCCCGATCGGGCGAAATTTCCCTTGATTTCTTCCCTGATTTGCGCGCCCGATTGGGACTCCTTGCCCGACCGGGCGAAATTAAGCTCCGATAAAATCAATATTGCGCGCCCAATTGGGCGTCGTTGCCCGATCGGGTGAAGTTTTCTGCAATTATAACCTTAGGTGCGCGCCCGATCGGGCCCGTACCCAGGCCTAGAGCTTTTCTTCCTTCGCCTCTTTTTTTCTTCTCTTGAAACCTCCGTACTTTGTGATCTAAAAACTGTACAAAACACTCATGAAAGGTAAAATTCACTCTCCTCACCTCTCTAAGAAAAAGTAATAATAAAAATAAACAAAAAATTAGTCTAGAAAGTAAGAAATACGGGTTGCCTCCTGCAAAGCGCTGGTTTATCTAGGTCCCGCACGACCCTCTTACCACAGGTAAAACTCAGAGTGAATCAGAACCGCTTAGGTGAAGTAATTCAACTGCACCAATTGTATCCCCCTCATGATATAGCTTGAGTCTTTGGCCATTAACCTTAAACTCGTTACCATGTTCATCGAAAACCTCCACAGAACTGAATTTATTGGCCCTTTTTACAATAAAAGGACCCGACCACCTTGACCTTAACTTTCCTCGGAAAAGTCTGAGTCGAGAGTTGAATAGTAACACGTTATCACCCTCCTTGAATTCTCTCGGAAGGATCATCTTGTTGTGCCACCTCTTCGTCTTCTCTTTGTAGACTCGAGCACTATCATAGGCCGTCAACCTAAACTCATCGAGTTGGTTAAGTTGAAGTAGCCTCTTTTCTCCCGCTAGTTAGGCATAGATTTAGCTCCTTAATAGCCCAATATTCCTTATATTCTAATTCGACCGGGAGATGACATGATTTATCGTAAACGAGTCTATACGGAGTAGTACCTATAGGGGTCTTGAATGCAGTTCTGAACGCCCAAAGGGTGTCATCCAACTTGTCGCTCCAATATTTCCTTGACTTTGCCACCACCTTCTCTAGAATGGCCTTGATCTCACGGTTAGAAACCTCAACTTGGCCACTAGTTTGGGGGTGGTAGGCTAACCATGTCCTATGGTAGACACCATACTTTTTTAGGAGGGTGTCTAACTTCCGTTCATGAAAGTGAGATCCTCCGTCACTTATTATTGCTCTAGGTACGCCAAATCTTTGAAAGATGGTCTTCTTGAAAAGTCTGTGGACCACCTTGGCATCATTAGTAGGAGTGGCGATGGCCTCAACCCACTTAGATACATAGTCGACGACGACAAGAATATAACGGTTCCCTTTTGAAGAAGGGAACGGTCCCATGTAATCAACACCCCAAACGTCAAAAATTTCAGCTTCTAGAATTCCGGTTTGGGGCATCTCATGCCTCCGCGAGATGTTGCCCGTCCTCTAGCAAGAGTCACAAGCCTGCACAAAAATATTAGCATCTTTAAACATCGTAGGCCAATAAAAACTTGACTCATTAATCTTGGCCACCGTTTTAGTGGGGCCATGATGTCCTCCATATGGTGAGGTGTGGCAACTATTAAGCACACCGTGGACTTCCCATTCGGGAACACACCTGCGAAACAATCCATCTGCACACTCACGAAACAAAAAAGGATCATTTCAAAAATAATGTTTAACATCAGAAAGGAATTTCTTTTTTTGTTGGTAGGACAAGTCAAGAGGTAGAGTACCGCCCACTAAATAATTAGCAAAATCCGCATACCATGGGTATCGCTCTACAACTGCGTAGAGGTTGTCATCAGGGAAAGAATCATCTATAGGTAGAGAATCCTTACCCTCATCATACCTGTTACGTGACAAGTGGTCTGCCACTACGTTCTCTGCTCCCTTTTTATCTTTGATTTCGATGTTGAAGTCTTGGAGCAAAAGAACCCATCGGAGTAGCCTTGGCTTTGATTCCACCTTAGCTATCAAGTACTTTAACACTGCATGGTAAGTAAAAACAATGACTTTAGAACCAACAAGATATGATCTAAATTTTTCTAAAACATATATAACAGCAAGAAACTCCTTCTCCGTAGTGGCATAGTTGACTTGGGCCTCATCCAAAGTTTTTCTTGCATAATAAATAGCATGCAAAACCTTGTTCTTTCTCTCACTACTACAAAAATGCTCAAAGAGACCGTAAATAAGAGACCGTTTAAGTAGATAATCGGCCTCTTTGTTTCAAGAGACCCAATATTACAAATAACCGGTCTCTTTGGTATAGTCTTAAGAAGTAAATATTAAACAAAGACCTTTTAATACAGATAACAGGTCTCTCTTGTAATTTTTTAATTTTTAATTCAAAAAGGAGAGACCTGTGTTAGTACATAACAGGTCTCTCTTGAATTTTTTTATTTTAAATTTAAAAAAGAGAGACCTATGTTAGTATATAACCGGTCTCTCATTATTTTTGTAAAAATTTTTTTAATAGAAACTCGTGACAACTGACAAAACTTAATTAATTGGTTTCCCTAATTTTTATATATAAAAAGGAAATGAAACCCTAAGTCTCTAATAATTCACGAACCTCATCAGTCTTCATCCCGCTGCGGCGCCGCTTCATCTCCTTCTCTCACTCCCCTCTTTCTCCAACTTTTCAACACACGAATTAACAACCACCACCACCATGATCTACCTCCTCCTAATCTCTTTTCTCACCCAATTTATATCCGACCAAGTCAAATGAATATAATGACCCGCATTCACCTCTATCAAATCTGTCATAACCTTGTTCACTTGATTAAGAATCTCTTTGTTTAGATTTTTAAAAAATTTACTAATTTTGGGTTGTATAGAGGAATTCCACCTTGCCGCAGACACTAACAATTGCAATTCCACTGCAAGAATCCGCGTTGATTGTAGATCTATTGTTTGATTTTGCTTTTGTTTAGCGGGCGTTCATCGTTTAATGGTAAGTTATTTTGGTTTAATTTTTTTATTTTTTTTTACTTGCGTCTGGAATAATTTTGACTCTCAACTAAGGAGTATCAACATATTTTCTGAATTTGTTGAACAATATGGGTCTCCATCTTTTATGTCTTTGATTTTCATCTTCTTTATATATTCAAAGAAAATTCAATCCATCTAAAAAAAAAAAAAAGAATATTCAAGAAATCTTGTGCTTTAGTGAGTTAATCTTTTACTAACGTTATATATCAGTTAACCTTTTATGGATTTGTTAAACAATTGATGCTTTAGTGAGTTAATTTTTTACTCACTAGTTATATATTTGTTCAATTTTTCAGTTAGGTTTTCTAAATAATCTTAATTATATATAATTTATTAATTATGTGGTTTTTGCTTTCACAGATGCTGTTTTCACAAGGAAGGAGTATTTCAGCTACATTTTTTGATGTAATTATTTTTGTATTGTAGATTACAATCATTTGTATACGAAGTACATTATTTATTGTGGAATTTCAAGTTTTTTTTTGTACTTTGATACTTTCAATTTTACACCAATTTTTATTTATTTATTATTTTTTTTTAATATAGCACATATTGTAATTTTAATTTTAATTTAAAAAATCAAATTAAATACGTTTATTTTTTTATTTAAAATGAGACTATAGAGACCGGTTAAGCTGAAAAAGCGGTCTCAATTTTCTTAAAGTAGACTACCTAATTAAGATAGGCGGTCTTAGTTTTCTGAAAAGAGAGACCGCTTTTCTTATAAAAGCAGTCTCAACTTTCTCAAAATTGAGACCGCTTATCTTTAATAGGCAGTCTCAACTTTAACATTCTAGAGACCGCCTCTAACAAGCAGTCTCTTTGCCAAAGAGACCACTGCGCTAGAGACCGCCTCTAAGGCAGTCTCTTTAGTTAAATTAAACTGGTCTCTTTGGCCAATTTTGTAGTAATGTCTGTCCGAGCACGACTCCTAGCGCAAAGTCACTTGCATCATACATGATCTCGAAAGGAAGGTTCCAATCGGGAGCACATATGATGGGTGCCGATATCAAAGCCTGCTTAATCCTGTAGAAGCCTCAAGACACTCGTTAGTGAAAATAAAAGGAACATCCTTGAGCAAAAGCCGAGTCAGTGGTTTAGCAATTTTAGAAAAATCTTTGATAAAACGGCGATAAAACCCCGCATGACCCAAGAAACTTCTAACTCCCTTAACATTAACTGGGGGAGGTAATTGCTCAATCACTGAAATCTTAGCTTTGTCTACTTGTATGCCCTTATCAGATACAATGTGACCTAGAACTACTCCCTCTGTCACCATAAAGTGACATTTTTCCCAATTTAGAACTAAATTGCACTCTTCACATCGTTTTAAAATTTTAGCGAGATTAATTAAACATAAATAATATGAGGAACCATACACGCTAAAATCATCCATAAAGACTTCCATAATAGACTCTATGAAATCAGAAAAAATACTCATCATACAATGTTGAAAGGTAGCGGGTTGTCACGGGTCATCTCCCACACCAAGGATGGGCGTCAAGAGGGTCACTAGGCAGCAAGGCAACAATCGGGGCTAGGGGGCTTGCCTTGGTGCTCAGGTAAGCACTTCCCCCTAAAGAGCTTTATATTGCACCTTGCTTAGAATCCTAGTGAACACCCACTTGACAGTAACACAATAATGGGTCGTTTGGAGACCCAAATGAAGTCCAAATGGGCCCAAATTCGGGGGTCCACAGTATTTTGGGCCAAGGAAGACGATGGTGGTGTCAGTTTCCCAAGACAAGGTCCCGAAATACGAGTTTTGGCAGCAGGTAGTCCGGAAAACGCGAGATGCTTCTAGAAGGTTCCGGAGCTATCTACAAGGTTCTTTTGAAGGAGTATTCTAGAGGGAATGTCTCTAGAATATTCAAGGGTTTTCATGTACATAGTAGAAGTGTCTAGGGTCTTCTATCCATGTGCATAATAAGTGTTGTACGTTCTAGAATGTTCTAGGGTTGTCTTGAACATTCTAGCTAGGGAAGGATGTAGAAACCTCCATGTAGGTAGTTCCTAAGGAGGTGGGAACACTCTAGATGTTGTAAGTCTAGAACCCTCCATTTGAGGAGGTTAGGAATTTTCTAGAGAAGCATGTAAGTAGGATGGAGCACTATAAATAGGCTCCAAGGCTCATTTGTACATTTAAGTTGAGAGATCAACAAGTTAAAAGCTATAAGTTGAGAGCAATACAAAAAGCCTTTCTTAAGCACTTATGTTCTCTTGCAACTCAATCTCTTTCCTTCAAACACTTAGAGAGTGTGAGGAAAACCAAGGCACGAGGGTGCCAAGTGAGTGATCGGGCATACCAGCAAGGGTGATAGCTTGGGTGCTCAATTGTCTACGACACTTAGTCGTAAATTCGGACTAAGGCACTAAGGGTGAGTTCTTAGTTCAACCAAAGAGGACTTGTTAGCACAAAGGGATCGGGCTAGCAAACTTATACTAGCAGCACAAGGAGTTGTGCTACGTGGGCACAAGGAGTAAGTGCCAAGGAGAAAGCCTGACTCGTCTTACGACGGACTGTAAGCGGGTGGCGCACGGTGCGTGACTAGGGCAAAGTAGTCGGCACGTGACAGGGTGCATTACATAAACCAAAGGGCATTCTACGATATGCAAAAGTGTCATAAGGGCATGTAAAAGTAGTCTTTTCCTGATCTTCAGGGTGAATCGAAATTTGGAAAAATCCCGAATACCCATCCAAATAGCAAAAGAATTTATGATTAGCTAACCTCTCAAGCATTTGATCTATAAAGGGAAGAGGGAAATGGTCCTTTTTAGCGGCGATATTTAATCTACGATACTCAATGCACATACGTCACCCTGTGACAGTTCTAGTGGGAATTAATTCATTTTTTTATTGGTTATCACAGTCATCCCACCCTTTTTTGGCACTACCTGCATAGGACTTACCCATTTGGAGTCAGAAATAGGATAGATAATACCTGCATCAAGTAATTTCATAACCTCCTTCTTGACTACTTCCTGCAGGTTGGGATTTAATCTTCGTTAGGGTTAAATGCAGGGCTTATAGTTGTCCTCTAGATGTATCCTATGCATACAAAAATCAGGGCCAATACCCTTGAGATCATCAATACTGTACCCAATAGCTTTCTTATGGGTTTTGAAACCCCTAGAAGTTGGGAGGTTTGTAGATCAGTAAGTGCAGTACTGATGATCACGGGGTATAGTTCCTGTTCATCAAGAAAAATATATTTTAAATGAGAAGGGAGAGGTTTTAGCTCAGGTTTCTTGACCTCCGCAGGTTTTGATTCCTGAACTAAATTTACTACCTTCATTGTTTCCTTGGGGCTTAACTCTTTTAAGGAAAGAGCCTTTTCAATATCTTGTACCTCATTACCCCAAACGCTTGCATTGTCTCTAGATAAATTCCCGTAGAGAACTTCCTCTAGGGGATACCTCGCAAGAACCTATGGCAAGCTATCATCACAAATATCATCCATTATATCAATTACATCAATACAACAACAATTCTCCTCTAGCATAGGCCCTTTCAAAACTTTCCCTAAATTAAAAGTAACATTTTCGTCACCTACAGAAAGGGTTAGTTTACCATTTTTAACATCAATAATTGCTCCTGCAGTATGGAGAAAAGGCCTACCTAATATAATGGGTATTTGCGTATCCTCTGCCATACAAAATCAACAGGAATAAAAAATTTACCAACTCTGACAGGGACGTCCTCTAAAATACCTAAAGGGTATTTTACCGAACGATCTGCCATTTGCAAAGTTATATTGGTAACCTTTAATTCTCCCATATTAAGTTTAGCACAGACAAACGATGGCATGACACTTACACTAGCACCCAAATCACACAAAGCTTTATCAATAAAAACATTCCCTATAAGACAAGGGATAGAAAAACTACCGGGATCCTTTAATTTAGGAGGGGATTTGTTTTGCAATAAAGATCTACACTACTCTGTGAAAGCTACAGTTTCTAATTCATTAAAGGCCCTTTTCCTAGTCAGAATGACTTTCATAAATTTAGCATAAGCAGGAACTTGAGTGATTAAGTCAGTGAAAGGAACTGTTACCTGCAGGTTTTTCACAACCTCTAAAAACTTACTGAATTTTTTATCAAACTTACTCTTCAGTTGTCTATTAGGGAATGGAAGCTTGATAATCGGGCTCTGCACATCTCCTCCCTTATCCTGCTATTTACCCTGCACAGAAACAATAGTAGAGTTAGTATTTATTTGTAGCCTTGCAGGGCTAGCAGGATTAGCGTTTGGTATAGAGGAATCTAGATCAGGAACTGGTCTATCTTCCTTTGGCATAGGAGGTCCATCATAATGTGAACCACTCCGTAGAGTGATTGCATTGGCATGATCTGTAGGATGGATAGGTTGTGATGGTAGAGCTCCCTACTGACGGGATTGTAGGGTAGATGAAAGTTGTGCAATTTGATTGTCCATGATTTTATTATGGGCTAAAATGGAATGAATTTGCGCATCCCTACTCTCCATATGCTTTTACATATTAGCAAGCATTGCTCTAATTTTTGTCATGGCAGGGTCGGAAGATGATGAGGGTGATGCTTGGCTTTTCTGGCCGGAATTAGGATGGTAATATTTTTGTTGTGGTGGGGTTTACTGTTGTGGTTGTTCTGGAGGTGGAGGGTTTTGTACATTGGTGCTTCGGTATGAAAGATATGGATGAGTCCTATAACCGGCATTGTAGGAATTGGAATATGGGTTATTCTGCCTATAGGTTTGAAAGGCATTAACTTGTTCCATAGAGCTCCTACAATCTTGCTCCCAATGCCCTACAATTCCACAATTTTCACAAAAAGCTTCATTGTTAGCAACAACAGAAACATTAGCTACAGAGTTAGGAGCAACAGTAAGATTATCTAGTTTTTGACAAATAGACGTTAATTGAGCTTGCAAAAAGGATACGGAATCGACATTATGTTTTCCTTTATTTTCAAACCCTCTCGGATTCCCGTATTGGGAATTGTGTATTGCCATGTCTTCGATAACCTGTCCTGCATCGTGCACATTTAAATTCATGAACCTCCCACTGGCTGCGGAATCTAGCACTGACCTAGAAGAATTTCCAAGTCCATTGTAAAATGCTTGGATCAGTTGCCATTGTGCTAGGTTGTGGTGGGGGCATTCTCTCTGTAGATCCTTGAACCTCTCCCAAGCCTCATATAGCGTTTCGTCGGCCTCTTGAGCGAAGTTCTGAATAACACTCCTTAGCACCGCTGTTCTCTCTAAAGGATAGTATTTATTATAGAAATTCAAAGCAAGAGTTTCCCAGTCAGTAATACCAAGTGCACTTCTATTCAAACCATTAAACCATAATTTAGATTTTCCACATAATGACAAAGGAAAAAGAATCTCCCTGGTTTGGTCTTGCGTGACCCCGGCTTGTCTAATGGTGTTACAATACTGGCAGAAATCTCTGATGTGAAGATTAAGATATTCACCATTAGCTCCACTGAATTGCTTCCTCTCTA